GATGGATTCCCCATTGCCTAAATTCCTTTTTTTTGCTTTTGACTAGCATTTCAACTGTCTGGGGTCCCTAACTTCGTCCCAAAGTCGTCCATTTTCCCTGGTTAAAATGCTAAGTCAGAAAGGACTCCTTTGCATGGGGATGCCAATATCTCTCACTCCCTGATGGGGGTGCAAGGGAGACAGCAATTCCATGATTGGAATTTCCAAAAGAAAAAAAATTGGGGGAATGAAGGGACCAGCTCCCCATTTCGGCAGCCATAACAGCTGAACATGTGCTTGTCTGAGCCTGTCCTAAAAAACAGAAAATCAGATCCCTGCCTCATGGCAAGGAACCAATCAGAAGTTAGCTGGTGGTGCTATGCTTTAAAACTCTGGGTGTGCTTTACAGACAAGTGCACAGCAATGACGCACAGAGCATAGCAACCACCCTGGGAGGGCCTATGGGCCATAACAACCAGTTGACCAATAAACACAGGGCAAGCCCTCCAAGCCTGGAGGCACATCAATCCTGAGTCCCTGCGTACCCCTAGACACTCCCCTTACACTGCTCTAGAAGATCTCTATGTAGACGCTTCGCAGTGTCTTTTCTAGCCATCCACTATGGCGGGTGGGTGAAAGACTGGAGCTAACATGGGGTTAGCTTGTTAAAAAAAACAATAAAGCCTCAAGCAGTTTGCAGCAAGCTTTTGAATCTGCCTGGTGATTGGGGGACTGCAGTCCTGGGCTAAGACCCCAGAGGCCTGAGTTTTCCAGGGGGTCTAACAACTGTAGTAATTAGTATAGGGTATACAACAGCATAGTGTAAATATGCTTAAAAATGAACTTGAATGGTTTCATGATAAAAAGTAGACAGGTCAGCCAAAGAATTGCCCATTTACAGCCTTTCTAATTTATTTCTCACAATGTATTTCTGTTTATCCTATTTATTTTCTTCTCTCTTCAGATATAGTGGGTGTGTGTGTGTGTGTGTGTGTGTGTGTGTGTGTGTGTGTGAGTGTCGTGACCCAGCGTGTCTCAGCCTTAATCCATGATGTTCCGTCTGAGTGGGGGTGTGTGGACCTGGAAGCTCCTAGCAACCCATCAGTGATAAAGACCAAACACAGGCATCTTGTCATCTTCAGAGAGCTCTCAGTTCCATGTTGTAGAACTAGAGTCATTTCTTTATTAGCCATCTTTTCTGGTGTTTCTTAACCATCCTGTCATGACCACGAGGGAACTATCTCTCTTTGTTGTCCTCTCTGCTCTGGTTGCTGGCTCTTACCTCTCCTCTTCCCTCATCATTCACTCACACCATGCACCTCCACCCAGGTGAGGGCCTATTCAGATGCTTAGGCCTACAGAGATTCAAATAGGAGGCATTTTATCCTGAGGCCATGGTAAACAATAGTAGCCCTACTGGCAATTAACAATACAATGGTGAGCTGAAGCTTTTTGGTACCCCAAGTTTACAGGACCTGGAGGCTGGGCCCTAAAATATTCCATAATAGAAGTATTTGGTCCCGTGTGTGTGTGTGTGTGTGTGTGTGTGTGTGTGTGTGTGTGTGTGTGTAAAAGCACTCACTTGCATGCCCATGTATGTGTGAGTGACAGAGGTTAACTTCAAGTATCTTCCTCTCCATTTCCTGCATTAATAAATCTCTCAGTGATCCTAGAACTTCCAGTTTCTTCTGGCCTAGATGGCCAGTGAAGCAACCCAGCAGGATCCATCTATCTCTGCTCTCTGAGCATCAGGGTTGCTGATGTACATATTGCAGGGCTATTGTTTGGGTTCTGTGGTTCTGAAGTCAGATCATCATGCTTGATAAACAAGCACTTTCCCTCTTAGCCAACACAGATGCATTGTTCTTTCTCCATCCTCAGCATCACTGTGACTTCAGCAATATTTCCTCTTGATTGCCAAAGCTCTCCTCTTTTTAACCCAAACACCTAAAGCCATACTGCTGCTTATTGCTGAGCCACATAAACTTTACACTGAATATTTTAAAATCAAATAGCCCTGGAATTGTATGCATTCATATTTCATTACTTAAGTTGAGAAGACCAATTTGAAAGGTAAAACTTGCATGTAGTTATTTATGCCTATGAAAGTACTAGCCCCGCATTTCGGCAGCCATGACAGTAACTCGTGTTTGCTATGACCCTGCCTTGGTCACTAAGAGGTTAGGTGCCTGCTTTGTGGCAAGGAACCAATCAGAAGTTAGCTGGTGGTGCTATGCTTTACAACTCTGGGTGTGCTTTATAGACAAGTGCACAGCAATGTCTTGCAGAGCATAGCAACCACTCTGGGAGGGCCTATGGGCCATAACAACCAATTGGCCAATCAACCCTGGGAAAGCCCTCGAAGCCTGGAAGCACACCAATCCTGAGCCTGTGCATACCCCTGGACACTCCCCTTATGCTGCCCTACAAGATAGCTCAGCAGCCAGTTCGAGGTGTCTTTGCTAGCCATCTGCCATGGTGGGTGGGTGAAAGACCCAAGCTAACATGGGATTAGCTCGTTAAAAAACAATAAAGCCTCATGCAGTTTGCATCAAGCTCTTGAATCTGCCTGGTGATTGGGTGACCTCGGTCATGGCCTGGGACCTCGGATACTTGAGTTTTTCCAGGGTCTAACACCTATAGTAATGTTTCTTGGTTTGATAATATGGGAAAATTTGAAGATCATGCATGACATTTTAAAGACCTCTTTTGCTTTGAGGTGTCCTTGCTTGTCTCAGGGGAAGGGATATAAGATGTCCATAGAAGCTAATTATATTTTTAAGCTTTGAAACTGTTTTGCTAGTCTCAGAAAGCATTACATTTCTTAGATTTCTCTTCAAAGCCTCCCTTAAATATTATTTAGTCTATGGATTTCCTTGTGTTTTCTAAAGTGAATATATTTATCTATCTTTTCACTTAATTATATAAACTTAGTATTTAAAATAACTCAAGCTGTAGGAGGCTAATGCTGAAAGCCAGTGATTTAAAACAAAAACAAAAAACAAGATCAGTGGTTGCAATAATATGAAGGATAAAGCAGAAGGGAGAAAGTACAGGCAAATTTGCACTGATTTCTTCTCTTTCAGGAAATACTGGGACATAAGAGAAACAGGATGTGGATGTTACTCTAGCTTAGAACCAGATATTGGGAAACCTCTGTAACAAATTATGCAATAATAAATTACAAAGCAGTTAAAGGCCATTTGTAAAAATTCTTATTTTATATAACAAGGCATATTTCACATCCATCCTCCACACAGGATGCTTAACACTCAGAGGGTAAGTGAGCATCTGCTGTATGTTCTATATAATGTTCTATAGAGTCTCATTTTTCTATGGAGACACATCTTAATTAGAATATCTTCTGAGTCATAATACGAGACAAAAACGAAATATGTAAGTTCTTTCCAAATCTGTTTATATGCTGCTTAGACCATGAAAAGGAGCATCTGCTCAGTGTTTTTTCCCAAGTATATTAAAACCCTACCATTGACCATTTGCTTAAATTAAATGTCCTTGTTGCCCTTCACATAAAAAAGCCATGCACTCTGACATTAAATAATCTGTGTAAAAAGTGCATGCAAACTATTTATTAGGCAGGTTGAGGTTGAACTTCTGGAGGTATGGGTACAGTGTTAACAAGAAGTTTGGACAGAGTTGGCCAAAACTAAATCAGTAAATTGTGAATGTTACCCATTCATGAAATCATTCCATTTCAAATCTCAAAACATTAAGTTGCTTCTAACTTCCACTACTGACAATGTGTGGAAGTGCACTCACATATACTCTTTTAGAATTAAAGGATCTCAATTCACTGACACTGTGAAAATGATTACCCAAGTTCAATAACACAATCCATAATTTAACATCAATTCCAATTTCTTTTTATCCATCAAAATAAAAAATTCTTAATCTATATTGGAGTGTCAGTCTTTAAACAAAAAATAACTATGCTTTCAAATTTGCCTAGTATCATAAGATTAATTATTTAATAATACTGAATATAGGGAAGTAGCTATGCAGAACTGTTTCCCTTAAACTGCAATATCAGAGTTGCCAAAGCCAATATTGTAACATGAAATAATCAAATTTTTGCTAAGTATGGAAAATGTGTATTGTATATAAAGATTTCTCTCTGGATATGTGTGTGTGTGTGTGTGTGTGTGTGTGTGTGTGTGTGTGTGTAGAACATGTACAATATATGTAATTCTACATCCTTGTTAGTTGAGAACTTATTAAATAGTACTTATATATAAGTATCTCATCTTCATTACCTTGTAAATATCCAAAAATCCACACTGGTGATCAAATCTGGTGTAGAGCTCATTGAGCATGCTGATCACTTGCATGGGAGTACACTGTGCACATATGGCTGTGAAGCCCACAATGTCTGAGAAGAGCATGGTGACATCATCAAACTTTCTGGCCTGTACTTGCTGTCCTTGCCACAACTGCTGGGCTACATCACCAGGGAAAATGGAATACAGCAGATCCACTGTCTTCTTCTTCTCTTCTTCCAAGGCCTGATGAGTTCTTTCTAAGGTGGCCTTTAATTTATCCATCCTCTTTTTTAAGCCATCCTGGGCCTTTGCTTGCTCTCCAACTAATATGACATCCCGAGTAGCATCATGAATAGGAATGTCTGAGAGATGTAGTCCTCGGCCCATGAGTTCATCCAACTTGTCCACACATGGAGAGCCCAAAAACAAAATGGCATTTGATTCCGGGACATGGATCATCTGTCCTTTGATTTCCATCACCTGTGAAATGAACATGGAATTTTGATCAGTCTTCTTCATGAACAGGTCAAGAAAATAATACATTACCTGATTACTATGAGGAACAGAAATGTTTTCTAAACTGTACAGAAATGTTTTCACTCTAGCACATTTTCAATTCATTCAAAGTCAATATAAACTTCCAGGTTCAGAATAGAAATAATTGTTTTGCATTGTACTATAAAGACAGTGATGGAATACAAAATGAGATCAATGAAAAATGAAAGAGGATAACATTTTTATTGAAGATGGAGTTATTCCCAGATTCATTGTTGAACTGGCTTATGAACCAACTAAAAAACCTTCAGATTAGTAATAACAGTACCAGGATAAATTCACATGTCAGAATACCTGTACTTAACTGTCATTAAAATAGCACTGTCTTCAAAAATAAATCTGGGAGCTTAAGATGAATCATAATAATTATTTGGCTTTATGAACATAATTTTTCAACCAGTTACAGTATTTGGGGCAAGTATCAGTCATCACAATGACTAGGGTATTGGGCAATTTTGTAAGCTTAGAAATAAAGAATTTAAACACGGGGTCTGTCATTAAGCCATTATTAGCAGAGAGTAGCACATTTATAAATCAAAACTCACTGTACAGATATCAAATTAGACTAGCACTAAAGCAGTTAAGAAGATATAGTGTAGGGGAAAGTAAAATAATGCCATCCTTCCCTTTTGTGACTTTTCACAGATGTCAGGGAATTGACATTTAATGAAAAGAAATACTGAAACTAGGGTTATGCTACCTCAGTTTGGAATCCAACTGAAAACTGGCAGAGTGGCAGAATGTATCCATAGCTTCCTTGAGTTATTTGGGTTAGACCAATATGTTTCAACAAAGCTGAATGGAAAGATAGCTGTTTGTAAGTACCTAGGGTGAAAAGGTGGCCAGGTACTGTTCAACCCTGAGATTGCCTCTGTCATTCCACATTATCACCCAGTTCCACATAGTATATGCTATTATTTTATTATTTATTTTCAGTTATTGTTTTAAAAGCTATAGGCTATGTTATGAACCTAGATACTGAGAAAAAAGCAGGGTAAAACTATTCATCATTTATTAAAATCTCAGGAAACCTGGCTTGATATTATAAGTTTAAAGAAGTAAGTTCTCAGTGTTCCCTTTGTAAAGTTTCTGCTGTAGTTAAGTATTTCACCCCTTCACACTGTGTTCTGACTGTCACCAGAGCAGACATTGAATGTTTTTATTTACTAATATTGTTCTGAGTGATGGAGATAAATAAAGAAAATAACATTTCCTTATTCAAGCATTTCACAATATATTGCAGAATCAAAATTACATAAGCCAGAAAATAATATAGATTCTCAGGTGACTGCAGGTCATGCTTGAAATGATTATCTTGTAAAGTATTTTTAGGTGGTTTCATACATTTCTGATATGCATTTTGTGGCAAAAGTATTTTTAAAGTCATATATTTCCTTACTGAAGGATAATAATGTCAGAAAATGAAGAAACAAATAGTTTACCCTCTCATAGTTAAAAAAATTAGTGTATATTGTGCCTGCTACAGAGACTCTTCTGTTGGAGTGCCACACCCTACTTCAATATGGTAGGTTTTCCTTCATCTTATTATATTTTATTTGGTCATGTTTCGCTGTTATATCATAGAAGCCTCTTCTTGTCTAATGAGAGACATAAAGAGAGTGGATCTTGAGGGGACGGGAAATGGGAGGAACTGGGAAGAGCAGAGTAAGGGGAACTGTAATCAATATGTACTATATGAGAAAAGAATCTATTTTCAATAAAAGAAAAATATTACATTTATTAATTAACAAAATTTAACAAAGGATCAGAATTCTTTCGAAAGAACTTACAATCTTAAGTGGTGGTGATAACCTTTGGAGCATCTTGATTTGAGCTTTGACTCTCTGTCCCTCCCTTCCTTCCTCACTCCTTTCTTTACATCCTCCTATTTTCTTCCAGGGATTTTCTTTTTCATCTTTCCCATCTTAGTTTCTAATTTACTCTCCTTTGATTTTTTGGATGGATATGTATTTTGTCCTTCACTTTTCTTTTGGTCTTTTTCTTCTGTCACTCCTTATCACATTACTTCACTGCCCATCTCTTCCTCCCATGGTTCTCTGTCAGGAGCCAGCTCTGGTCAGATATAAAAGTCCCCTTTACAGAAGCTTGATGACCTCCATGCTAAACCGATAATTAGTCAAGCACCCCACCCTTAGATTAGTGTTCAAGATAACCACCGGAGGTTCCAGACACCTGGCCTGGCCTGAGAGCAATTAACACCCATTCCTCCCCCACTTCTTCTTTCTCTACTTCCTCCTTTCTCTTTAAAATCCCCTTGTTTATAATCAATAAACAGACCTTGACAAGGACACTACTTGGTCTAGCTTTTCTTTCCCATGAATTACCGGAGCCCTGCTGGCCTGGGGCAGTTCTCCTCCTTGTCTTTCTTTTAACTTCCTAGGTATTAATGGCTACATTTCCTGTCATAATTCACCTTTTTCTTTTTCTGTCTCCTTTATTTTATGACTTCTCTTTAAAGAGAAAAACTAAGCAGATTAGAATCAGTCCATGTGTGCTTCTATAAATTATATATTGTACTTGACACATGAGACAAAGTGTATAAATAGCTTACTTAACATACAAAGAAGCTGAGTTGGATAGTTTATAACCATGGTGAATCTGGGAAGAAATGAAAGAAAATATGGCTAAAACACATTGTACAAAATTCACAAAGAACTAATAAATACATACATAAACAAAATAGTTTTGAGTTATAAGTGGCTATTTGTTAATTATTTTTAAAATCGACAATTTCTACATACTTTGGAAGGAAAATAGATTTACCATGTATATTATACAAAAGTAACTTAGGAAGAAGCTGAAACAAATAGCTTCCCTTTGGAAATCAGTATGGAGATTCCTCAGGAAAATAAGAATCAGTCAACCACAAGATCCAGCAATTCTACTCTTAGGCATATACCCAAAAGAATCACATCCATAAAACTAGGACATCTGTTCAACTATGTTCATAGCAGCATTATTTGTAAAAGCCAGATGCTGGAAGCAATCTAGATGCCCCTCACCTGAAAAATGGATAGAGAAAATGTGGTAAATTTACAGAATGGAGTAGTATTCAGCAGAAAAATAACAATGGAATCTTGAAATTTGCAGGAAAATGGATGGAACTAGAAGAAACCATTCTGAGCGAGGTAATCCAGTCACAAAAAGATAGACATGGTATGCACTCATTCATATATGGATTTTAGACATATAGCAAAGGATTACCAGCCTACAATCCACACTGCCAGAGAAACTAGGAAACAAGGAGGACCCTAAGTGAGACATACCTGGTCCTCTGGAGAAGGGGAAAGGGACAGGATCTCCTGAGCAAATTGGGAGCATGGCAGGAGGGGAGAGGGAGCTAGATAAATGAGAAGTGGAAAAGAGGATGGGTGAGGAGATCATGAGAGAGCAGGAAGGTTGGGTAGGGGCAAGAGTAGAGGAGGTCAAGATAAGAGATACCATAATAGAGGGAGCCATTATACGTTTAAAGAGAAATCAGGCACTAGAGAAATGTCCAAAGATCTACAAGGATGACACCAACTAACAATCTAAGCAACAGTGGAGAGGCTACATTAAATGCCCTCCCCATATAATGAGATTGATGACTAACTTGTATGCCATCCTATAGCCTTCATCCAGCAGCTGGAAGTAGAAGCAGACACTCATCTAAACACTGAACTGAAATGGAATCCAGTTGCACAGAGGGAGGAGTCATAAGCAAAGTAGTCAAGACCATGCTGGTGAAACCCACAGAAACAGCTGACCTGAACAAGGAGGAGCTCATGATCCCCAGACTGATAGCTGGGGAACCAGCATAGGACTGATTCAGGTCCCATGAATGTAAGTGTCAGTGAGGAGGCCTCAGAAATCTTTGGGGCCTCTTGTAGTAGATCCGTATTTATCCCTATCATAGGAATGGACTTTGGGAGCCCATTCCACATAGAGGGATACTCCCTAAGCCTAGACACATGGGAGAGGGCCTAGGCCCTATCCTAAAGAATATGACAGACTCTGAAGATCCCCCATGGAAGGCTTCAACCTCCTTGGAGAGCAGAAAGGGTATGGAATAGGTAGGGTGTTATTGGGGTACAGGGTAGGAGGGGAGGAAGAAGGAACTGGTATTGACTTGTAGAACAATATTGTTTCTAATTTAAATATTAAAATGGAAAGAAAAATATACCCTATATTATCTGGCATCTATATTATCTAATATCATTATCAAGGACATGTTGGAACAAAGATGAATGCCATTACCCACTGAGATAAACCTAATAAAAGTAATTCTACAATAAAAAGGTTTAAAGTGTAATAGGATCCAGAGTCTTCTAACACAACAGACAGGCTATCTTGGATATAATTGAAAGATAAACATTGAGTTAAGGACCAGGAAAATTCCACTTGAAGGAAAAAATGACAACCAATTGATGGCAACAGTAAATTGAGTCAGAAGTGGGAATTACCTATTACGAATTTTAAATCAGATAGGATAAATTTTAAATCAGATAGGACACCAGTAGAACATGGCCCACTGAATCAATGAAGCTGGGCTCACAAGAGCTAACAGAGACTGAAGTGGCACAGGGCCTGCATGGGACTGCATGAGGTCCTCTCTGTATATGTTACAGCTGTTTGCTTGCTGTTTTTGTGGAACTTATTCCTGCTCTTGAGACTTTCTTCCTACAGTAGAGGCTCTTGTCCAACCCCCATAGGAGGGCACTTAGCTTGTCTTAATAAATCTTGTTTTATATGCTTGGTTGTTGATTCTTGGAGGCCTATTCCTTTCCAATGGGAAATTTAGGGGAATGGATCTGATGGATAGGGGAAGTGCAAGGGAGCTGGGAAGAGTGGAGAGAGGGGAAACTGTGATGGGGTATACTGTTTGAGAGAAGAATCTATTTTCAGTGGGGAAAGTAATTTTAAAA